TCTTTCTCCATTCTCCTATAAAGCTACAAAATTTCATCCAAATTCTAACCAAATCTTCTTCTTGAATAAAGAAAGAAACATGTATAAGATACATACATTATCTCCTTCTAGAAACTTACAAAATTTCATCCAAATTCTAACCAAATCCTCCTCCTTAAGAGTATCAAAAAAGAAATGTGTATGAAATACGTATNTCTTTCTCCATTCTCCTATAAAGCTACAAAATTTCATCCAAATTCTAACCAAATCTTCTTCTTCTTGAATAAAAAAAAAAACCTGTATAAGATACATATATTATCTCCTTCTAGAAACTTACAAAATTTCATCCAAATTCTAACCAAATCTTCTTCTTCTTGAATAAAAAAAAAAACCTGTATAAGATACATATATTATCTCCTTCTAGAAACTTACAAAATTTCATCCAAATTCTAACCAAATTCTCCTCCTTAAAAGTATTAAAAAAGAAACGTGTATGAAATACATACATTATTTTTTTCATTCTCCTATAAAGCTATAAAATTTCATCCAAATTCTAACCAAATCCTCCTTCTTTAGAATATCAAAAAAGTAAACATATATAAATCAAGCATAAAAGATTTTAAATTTCAATTATCATTAAGATACGTACATTATCTCCTTCCATTTTTCAAACCTACGCTATTCCTTTAAACCTCCCCCCCCAAAAAAAGGAACATGTACACATCACACAAATCAAGCACGAGAGATCTGTTTAAATCTCAATTATCAAATTTTCCCTTATTCTAAACCTGGAAAATTTCATTCAAATTCCAACCTCTCCCTTGGAATATGAAAAATAAAAGAAAACCAAGGGACAAATTATCTCTAAAATACGATACATTATCTCGTTCCAAATTCTATACCGACCAACCGGCTCTCTCCGTTACCGATACATCGAAAGGGATACGCACACACACACACACACACACACTCGCGCGCATAGGCAAACGTCACGATGCGAATCAAGCGATGCGAGATTCTATTTTCAGATACGAAAATACCGTTATATTCCCGTCGTAGGAGGAAACGTTTCGATTTCGAGCCCGGTATCGCTCGATTTTCCATCTCGAAAATCCGCGTTATTTATTTATTTATTTATTTATTTATTTATTTATCGACGAGGAGCGTGCACGCACACGCTTCTCGTCGCGTGAACCGCTTCCCCCCATGCATCATCGGCCAAAATCGATAACATCGAAACGGCGATAACGTAGCGATAACGCGTCTCTGCGTGTAACATGAACGGGCGTCCGTAACCGGCGTCCCTTAAAAAAAAGGAAAACACGCTTGTCCTCTACGGTTTTCGACGGTCGAACGCGGCGCGAACGCGCCGCATTTTGCTCGCGTGTCAAACGTGTCTTCTATTCACACACGCGCTTTCCATTCCCTCGTGAAATAGTCCCTTCCCTTTCTCTCTTTGTTTCTCTTTTTCGAGACTCTTCGAGTGTTCGTTCAAACTTCAGTCGAGAAAAACGAGGAAGGTGTAATCCTGATTTCACTACACTTAATTGCCGATGATATTTCGAGAGAAAGAGAAGGAAGAAAGTGGCCAGAAATTCTTTGGAAAAAGTAGAAAAAAGAAAATCCGTTTTCGAGAAGAATCTCTCTATCCTTATATCTTAGGTTCGTGTAAAAATATTGAATATATCGTGATCGAAATTTTCTTCGAAAAAAGAAAAAAGATAAAGAAAGGAAACTCGCGAAAGAGAAAGAGAAAAATCGTACACTCTGAATCGTTCTATTCGAAAATTCGCACCGAAATTCGTGTCATGCATTGCACGCGCGTTGGAGGGAAATGGCTCGAACGCACGCCGTTCTCGTGTCCACACATCGACAGCGAAAAAACAAAAGAGATGAAAAGAAAAAGGAAAAAGATACGAAAGAACAATTGATTTTCTCCAAAATCAAATTTTCTTTTCAACTCGATCGACTGGGTTCGAGTCTCGACGAAAATTCTTGGAGGCAAAAGGGCTGCAACAGGCAATCGTACGTGTATCGTATCGTACCATAACCCGGAATACACGCCATGCCAGAGGCTGCGAGCGAGCGCGATTAACGGCCAAGCGTCCAAGCGGAATTTACGAGCGAAGGAGACGAGACGAAAAGGCGAACGAGGGAAAGAGAAAGATATATATACATACGTATGTATATATATATGTATATATACACACAAAAGCGCGTAACCACGGCCTAGGAAAATTACAGGATCGCGTGCCAACGGGTATAAATCAAGGAAGGAAGGAAGAGGAGGAGGAGAGGTGAGAAGAGGCCATCCGGATTCCCAGGACGCATGGCCACGCTTTCAACCAATCCTCCTCGCCGATTTTCGATATATGCAATTTATAAACGATCGAAACTGTATAATTCGATCAACGAGCATGAGACAAAGGGGGACGAGGAGGAAGTACCTTGCGTGGCAGGTAAATAGACAGGCAAGGCAGAGAGGGTGGAAATGGGATGGATAAACACACAGAGAGATAGATAGATAGATAGATAGATAGAGAGAGAGGTAAAAGCGAGCAAGCAGGTAGACAAATAGACAGGCAGGCAGGCAGGCAGGCAGGCAGGCAGGCGTTACCTCGCTTGGACGTGCTGTCGGCGCTGCTAATAAATCCAGGTACGGCAATCACGAGAACAAAGAGTCCACAGTGTAGCCAAAACATGTTTACGTCTTAACAACATTGTTTAATTCCATTTTACATGACGCTCGTAAAACACTACGATGGCGGTGGTGCTCATGTCGCGCATAATCAGCGATACTACCTGGTCGCCGGTTGGATCATGAGTAACACGACTGACCGACTTGGGGTTACGCGGGGTTTCGTTGGGCGAGAGGAGAGTGCGAGGTGGAGAAAAAAAAGCGAAAAGCCGAGAGAGAGAGAGAGAGAGAGAGAGAGGATATCGTGTGTCGTGTGTGTACGTATATGTGTATATATGTGTATCACACGGGGGAGGCGCACAAAAGAGAATGGAATGGAAGAATGGAATTCGCGAGAAGAATCGACGAAAGAGAGAGAGAAAGAATAAACGAAAGAAAGGCAAGAGAAAGAGAGAGACAGATCCGTCGAATTCGTTTCGGAAATTTCCGATCGGGGATCGGAAAGAAAGAATTTTAATGGTTTAAAGGTTAGAAGGATACGAAAGAGAGAGAGAGAGAGAGAGAGAGAAGCAGCGGAGAGAAAACGAAAGAAAGAAAGAAAGAGAGAAAGAAAGAGAGAGAAGGCTCGCGGGCGACAGGAGGACAAACCGGCACCGACGGGTATAGAAACGACGGGTCCTCCTAGAACATCGCGAATCTCCTGGTACACTGGACGACACGCGATAA